GACTAATGGTACAAGAAGCTGGAGCACTCAGCCAGCAGAAACCTTGGTAAAGTAAAAAATGTATAGTTAAAAATCCAATTTCCAATTCGCCACCACAGTATAAAAGCACTATATGCAATGCTGATTATAGATATGTTTCTGTGGGTATTTGCCATTCCTTTGTCACATCCCTAAAATATAGAACGATATTCCCAGTGATCAATTACACCTAGGTGCTGTGTAGTGCATTTGGCTGCGTGCTGTTTATACTTAACCAAAACATCCAGGTGAAAATCTATGTTTGTGAACCCCCAAGCACTGTATTCAGCTGTAGGAGTAAGTATTTCAGCTGACAGCAAAAGCAAAAGCAAAAGCAATACCACTTGCTGACTTGGGAAAAAAAAAATAGGTGAGCTGGGCTGTAGTAAATCTAGCCTGTGCTGTCTATCATTCTCAGTAGTCCCCTGCAAATGGAAGCTTTTCTTCCAACTTTAGGTTTCTACTCTCTCTGGATTAAATGAAGATCTTAACTCTAAAAGTGCCTATAGTTGTGAGGAAAAAAAAAAAAAGACCTTAAAATAGAAAAGCTTTAAATCTGGAAACCAACAATGAAGTAATGAAGAGTAAATAGTTGTTTGAAGGGAAAGAATAGTAGGAACCTGACACAGTTATAAATATTTCTTTTGTTTTTCCTTTTTAATACTATTTGTTTTGTAAGTTTTATCTTATCTGACATTCCTCAAAAAGGATGAAGCTGCTGACCAGGATTGTGAGTATTCTTTATAGAGAGAAAGGATCACTGATATCTCTCAATTTTGGTGTAGTTTGTGGTACTGCTTAAACGCAAATAATGGTTCAACACAGAATGTTCCACTGTAGAAATTATTTTGTTGTATTATTGTAATTTCACAACAAGCATAGTTGAGGGAATGAATGTGGTGATTCTTATTGTTTTACATCTCCACTGAAGAAATTTCTCAATTTAAAAGAGATCATTTTCTATCAGAGAGTTTTCTCCTGCAAAGTAGGAAAAAAATGCTAATAGCTGAAGGAGACAGCTTTACAGAAAAAAAAGAAAAAATACAAAATGTTTTTTAGTCATGGTAAATACTAGGAAGCTTATGTAGATTTACTCTCTATTCTTCTCCTCCCTAGAAGGTTCTCATTTTAGTAATCTTTCCTTTCCCTGTTTGCTATCAAGACACTTCTATGCTATTTTTACGCAATTTATGTTAAAAAGTAAAGATGAAAACAAGAAAAGAACGACTCTTTTTGCCCTTCTTTGTTAATTAAGTGCAGTCAGATCATGTGTGCTTGGCTCTGGTGTAAACCATATGCTCTCAAGCCTTCTGTGACTGCCTAAAGACTCTAAAAAGTAAACAGACATTTTCTCTGCCTATTATCAATGGGAGTGCTCTGAAAAGTTGGAGAGAGAAAGCTGATAAAGAAAATTCTGAGAACACTCAGCAGATGGGATCACAGAGACCTGTTCCAAAATGAGATAGAAGTTAGTGAAAGACCTGGCCTGGCCTTGCCATCAAAGGAAACTGCTATAACTACTATCACTCATCAAAGACAGACTGGGAAGTGAGCACTATTCACACTTAATTGGCTGATTTTGCTAATGATATTGTATAAGGATTGTCCTACTGTTAGAAGATTGATCTACCATTTGAAGAAGACTAAAGTATTCTGTTTCTTCTAGAACCCAGAAAGCTCAGTAAGTGGAGGTTGGTCATTCATCTGTAAATGCTGTGTGACCAGTAGACTTGGCCTCTGTATATTTCCCATGGGCAGGATAGGCAAAGTGAGAATCTGAAAGAACCAAAAAACAGCAGATGTGACAGAAAGGAAAAGCTACTCTCACTCTGTACCTACTGCAGTTTGTTACTCTACTGATTATCTACTGATATATCCTGAAAGGACAGCTGACTGAGAGTAAGCCTATAATGGAGAAGGTGCTTCCCAGAGGGAGCGCAGTGTGTGAATGAGCCCACATCAGAGCATGCACAGCCCTAGAGGGATTGCAGCCCATGGAAGATGCAGAAGGGAACGCAGGAAACTTGTGAGAAACACAGAATGGCGGAGAGAAACTGCTATGCACGGACCCTGACCTCTTATCTCACTGAATGCACTAGATGTTACCTGCAATAAAAAGGAGGAGTGTGGAGAGGTGTCCAGCACAAAGGATTAAGCAGAGACTAGAACAGGAGACAAGAGGACTGTGAAAGTTGGAGGAAAAGTGTTTTCTCAAAGCGCTTAAATGTTTTTCTTGGTTTTCCAGTACTCAAATTAGTAATTAAATACTGATGCTAATTAGCAACAAATTAAGTTAAATTCCCCAAGTCAACTCCGTTTTGACTGCAACAATAGCTGATAAGTGTTTCATTTGTCTTTCCTTTGACAAATGAGTTTTCTCCTTTTCCTATTCTCTCCTCTGTCCCTTTAGCAAGGAGGTATCAAGTCACCCTCCTTGCCCAATTCACTGTAGCATATGACCCAATTAGGGGAATCAGACACCTATAAACATAAACAGTGGAATGTAATGGGCAGCCAGTATTTCTTGGGTCTAGAAAAAATGTAGATACTCTGTTAAAATTCATACAGAGGATCTGGGAAGGGTTGAGATTTGGTGGCAGGCTACAGGTTTTAGAATGCTGAATGCATTGGCATTCTGATATTCAGGAAGCATGGACTTTTTAGCATTTATTTATTATCTATAATGCTAAATAAAAGAAGGCCAGAGACTGATACCTTTCCTAAGTCCAGCTATCATGGACTTGCTCATATATAGGCCATGTAAGTTTAGCCTTCTCTAGCCTAGAAGGAGCGTACTGGAGTCAGTAGTTCATACTGGAGTCTGTACTCCAGCTCTGAGCGTCCTGAGAGCCCCAGGTGATATTGCTGTGACGCTAAAACTTTATTTAGAGAGATGTTTCATCTAAATATGTCTGAAATAGCATGAGGGATGTATTGTGACCCATTAAATGTTCAAGTAGCATGAGGATGAAAGGGGAACTGACTCATGTAACTGAGATGCTGAGATTGGTGGGATGGTGTTGGAGGACTGTGGGACGGAGAAATCTAAACCTGGTACCATCATATCTATACGGACTTTCCAGGAGTTGTGCTGGTGTGAACCATCCTCAGAGTCACAGCTAGTTTGCATTGTCCAATACAGAAGAGATAAACTTCCACTGAAACTATGTGAGCAATTTTGGTTCTAGCACTTGGGTTCATTTTATGTCCCTTGCTTTTTGACCAATATACATGTAACCTGTTTAGATTCTGTAGTTATTGCTTGCAGGCAAAACTTTCTCAATTTCAGCAAGAAACAGTTACCGGATCTGAATTTTACACAACAATGAGAGTCAGAAGATTCAGCAGCAGTGTGTGTTAATTATGATCAATTTTGGTAATTAAATTTGTGTTAAGTCGTAAATCTGCATGGATTAAGAAAAATCCAGATGTTAGATCTGGATTTCTACTAACTAGGATGCCTGTAGACACACCTGTTATCCCACAAATCTTTGCAGTCCTCAGACATGACTTTCCGAACACTTGCTCTGCACCTCATGTGGTTACTCCACAGTCCTACACAGGGACTATTCCTGATGCTTATTTTCATTTGCAGTACCCTGTACAAAAAACAAACAAACGAACAAACAAACAAATATATATAAGGAGGGGAACCTGGGAACCTGGGTTAAGAGATCTTCCTCAGGGCCTGCATTTAGCTGTACCTGGCAGCACACATGAAGCAGAATAAGCAAGTCTCCAGCCTCCTGACAACCTGAACACCTTCCTGTATGACTAGGGGGATAATTCAGGTTTTCAGCTGCCTTATACCTAGTTTCCCAGTCACTGTCCAGGCTGAAATATTTGTATTCTCCGGAGAGACTTGAAAAGAATAAATCCACACAACTATTCTGAGGCTATGAAGTCCTTTGCTCTTATAGCAATTCCTGAAGTCATCTGGCAGAAGAGACTCTCTTTCCCAGACCAGTGTGGAACATCTCGAAACAAGAAACCTCCTTAATGTTGGCTGTTGGCAATAATAGAAGTTTCACAGCTAAGACCCAGCAATGTTTTACTGATCAGACATACCTGTCTACAGTACACAGCTTTTAACAACGTGGAGGAAGAAGGACTGTGCCCTCCTCTGGCCTCTCAATTTCCAAAGCAGGACAGGCTGTGTCAGCAACCAAGGTAAATAATGACCCAGGCACATGTAAGGGCAACTAGCATCTACCCCACATCTGTGCCAGATCTGTGACTCACTGTGTGGCATTTTATCTTGCTACTCTGTAAGCATGTGTGACCTATAAAACCTTGACAGCTTGGGCAGACAGAAAACCTGGTCACAGAACCTGTTTTTTTAGTGCAGCTTGAGGACAAAAAGTGACAGCATCTGCATGTATGGAACTGCTGCCAAACACCTTTATTTTATTTTATTTTTATTAGGGTTGGTTCTAGTTTTCACCAGCACTTCAGATTCCACTGTACCTCATCTGATTCATACAACATTTTCTAATGGGATCTGCATTTATGCCTAAAAGGATTGTATATTTGTTCTCATTTCATGGCTTATAATTAGGAAGACTAAAGTAAAATCTTCTGACTAAGCAGAACTGAAAGACAGCACTGGAGTCTTGTACAATCATTGCCTTTGGATTTATCAGTTAGATTTTAGTTTCACTTTTGTCTTCCTACATAAAATCCTGCAAAATTTAAGTCAACAATAAACCTAGGGTTGTTCCCCTGTCTCAGGGGGAATTTGAAGAGCTGGGGTAAAAAAATCTCTGTAAATATGGCTATCAACCAGACTTCCCCTTACTTATGAGGAAACAGTCTATTCAAAGATTGCACAGAATCTTACTTGTCTGTTTTATTTGCACAAATCAGTTTTTCAGTCAGCCAGTGACTCCACTTCTAGGCTTACACAGTGCCGTGGTTTAGATGATGAAATCGATGTTCAGCTGGAGATCATGCAGAAAGTCCACCAAGGGGTGGGACTTATGAGGAATTGAAACTAAAATAAAGGAACTCTGTTTAGATCTTTTCCCTAGCCTTAGCTGCAGTCCTCCTTTCTGACAAGGATGTCTGGAGTCAGAGGATGGACGGAAGGCAGGTCATATGGGACGGCAGGAGGTACAGGACGACGGCCACTTCCAGCACTCCATTTAGGACAAGAGGTAATGGTCTTAAATTGCACCAGGGGAGGTTAAAGTTTAATATTAGGAAAAAAAAATTCTTATCACAAAGAGGTATTGGCACAAGTTGCCCAGGGAGGTGGTGGAATCAGCATCTCTGGAGGTGTTCAAGAAACATATAGATATTACACTGAGGGACATGGATTAGTGGGCATGGAGGTGATGGATTAATGATTAGACTAGATGATCTTAGTAGTCTTTTCCAACCTTAATAATTCTATGATTTCCCCCTCAGGGTTACCTCAGGGATAAAAGCAATCAAACAGAGGAGGCTGGAAATTCCCAGCAGCTGATGAGGTCTGGAGGAGAGCAAAAGAACCAACCATCAACTTACCAACAACAGCAAGAGCGGCAGTAAGTGGAAAGGAACCTAGCTGGTACGGAGGTGTTGTTTGCATTGGGTGCCTGTTCTCTACCTTACTCAAAGTGTACACCTGTAAATGTAGAAATTCTTTATAGAGAGCCTGTGAAAGGGACTGAACACATAAGCAACATGTTCTGCTGCTCTTGGAGAAGCCCACTTATGAGCAATGCTTTCTGATTGGGACCTGAAGTCTTCTAACAGGTTTTATGATATTATGGTTTACCCCTGGGGCTGCTTGAATGCGATGTGTGCTGATAGCATTGGCAATACATGTAACAGCAGCAGCTGGTTCTGTATATCTGATATTACTGTATATGGCATCTGTTTCTTGGAATCTTTGTCTAACTAGAATTTCAAATCCGGTTTTACTTTCCTGTTTTCTCTCCACTAATATTTCATCCTGGAAGTCTCAAAAGACTTCTTTTTGGCTGAGGAGATGGATGTAGGCTCTGTTCCAGCACTGATCTGAATGCAATCCAAGATACAGAACAGCTTCTCTTCTAACAACTTCATGCTGACAAAAGTAAAACCAAAGCTTCATTTCATTTTTACTGGCATCTGTGTTCCGTCCATCTCTTTTGTGCGTGTGTGTATGTGTGACAATCTCTGATACCTAGTATAAGCATTAATTTACAGATATAGTACAGAATAGAAATTGTCAGTACCATGTGTACTTTGTGAACATGTGCTTAGCCGACTAAAAGTAATTATTTACACTTCTTTTTCCCCAAACAGCTTTTTCTAAGCTGTTAGTAACCATGCTTGTAGTGCTATTATTATGCACTGAGTTTGCTTAGCTTGCTTTTTCCCCCAGTCTTTCAAACTGCAGCTGGTGGAAACTGGCTCCACCTTCTAAAAGCTATTTCAGTTTCCTTTCCTGTCTTTCTGGAAGAAGAAGGTGGAGCCAGGCTTTGCAAGAGCTGTCTGCCTGCTTATCATGAGCTTCAATCAGAAGCTTTCCATGGTAACCTGTGGTGGTCTACTAGGTAGTAATGATACATGGACGATTAAGAGCTAAGCTGCTATGAAATTCTTGGGCATTTTAACACATTACTTTCTGCAAAGTAAACCACCTTTCCTGAATTGCAGCCTATATTTATTTTGTGCCACTTCCAAGCATGAAAGTTTCTGTCTTGCCTTTCTTCACGTTGCTGTATATCCACAGTACAGTGAGAGCACCTTAGCTACTAGTCCTATAGTTTCTTTCTTTCCTTCTGTCTTCCTTTTTCTCCCCCCTTCCTTTCTTTCCTTACCTTCCTTACCTTCCTTACCTTCCTTTCATTCCTTTCATTCCTTTCATTCCTTTCATTTCTTCCTTCCTTCCTTCCTGTCCTCCTTTCTGTTTTTCTTTTTCCTGAGGGTGGTGAGTGGAAGTTTTTCCATGGGCATATCTGTTTTTGCCCAAAATTTGGTCTAGTGTACAACCCTGTGGTAAAAGTTAGGTATGTGCTTAATCATTTGGTTAGACTGAGCTCCTTGATAGATCAAATATATTCATACAGATTATGACCAAATGATGGACTCCTCTATAAAACCAGATAAGCTCTTGGGGAAGAATAATTAAAGCCTGTTTCCTGTTTTGTCTTTATATGATGCTTGCAGAGAGAAAACTGCTAAATATTTACTACAAGGATTGCACAAATATTTTTCACTATATGATATGAAAGATTCTCTCTGTGTCTTCATAAGATGAAAGAAAGAATTCATTCTAAAACAGGAATGTACAAATCAAAGTCTGCAGTAGTACGAAGGTATTGAGAAAGTGGAAGGAGAAAAAGGAAGGATCAAAGACAATACAAGAGGGAAACAAACACTTAAAAAAGGGAACAAGACTAGGGTTTCTTATCTACAGTTGGGGAGAAGAGCAACAAATTGAGTGAAGGGACTAGAAAATAAGACCTACAAGGAGAAGCTATGGAGATTATTTAGTCTGGAGAAAAAGAGGCTGAGGGGAGGCCCTATCAATCTTTACAGCTACCTGAAAGGAGGTAGCAAACAGGCTGTTGGTCTCTGTTCTCAAGTAACAAGTGACAGGACACAAGGTAGTGTCCTCGAGTTGAAACAGGGGTGGTTTAGACTGGAAGTCAGGAAGAATTTCTTCATGGAGAGGGTGGTTAGGCACTGGAATAGGCTGCACAGGGTTGTGGTGCAACCCCTATCCCTGGGTGTATTTAAGAGGCATGGATGTGGCAGTAGGGGACATATATGGTTTAGTTAGTGGGATTTGGTAGGTCAAACAGGTAGTTGGGTTTGATCTTGAAGGTCTTTTCCAACCTACAAGATTCTACAATTCTATGAATGAGATGAAGCTGGATGAAATTAGTAGAAGGTATTGGAAATGCTGAAGCTGACGAGGAAAGACCTCTATTCTTGAAACAAAAACTATAACGCTCATTTTTATTCGTTATTGCTAGTTATATTGCAAGATTTCAGATTAAAATGTCATTCTGGTAATGGCAAAACTGACTCATCCTGTTGTCCCTCAGTCCCTTTGAAAATTAGCCGTGAAACTAAATTACTAACACACTCTCAGAGCAGTCCAGGCTTTTAGGCTTTGGGATAGCAAAGAGTTGAACAGAGAAGTTTCAAAGCTTATGTTGTAGGATGTCAGCAGAAGAAAAGATCCTTCTAGCATTAACCTTGAAGGCTTTCTGAAATATGTGTAGTAGAGGAAACATGAGGGGCAGAAGAAAGATAACTCTTTGCCAAGAAGTGGCTCTATTCCAATTGATGTGTTGCTCACTGTGTTTCAGAAACAGCCAGGATCTGGTTTTGTTGCCAAAAGAGGAGTCTGAGCCTCTGTTGAAGCTTGTGAGTGACTAGGTTGGGTGTGTTGTTTTCCATGAGATGGCTTGGGCTGTGCTTCAGAGTGCTTGGAAGTGAGGAAACACCTTAGTAGTGTTTTAGTGTGGGATTAGGTGATGTTTCATGAAAATTGGACTCACGAAATACATGTGGGACGTAGAATGTTATAGCCTCACCAAGTAGCTGAGATGCAAATGACTCATTCAAAAAAAGTGTGAGATGGGCAACTGGTATTAGATGGTAATTCTTCTCTTGCTTTAGAAAAGCCCTTGTATAATAAGCTCTTGTATACGGCTGGAAGGTGATAATAAAGTGCTTCTAATTAAGTTATGAAAAATACTTGTTCGAATGAAAAACTGAAATGAAGCTTTGCACATTGGTTCCTCCAGTTCTGAACAGGATATGGTTTCAGGCTATGGAGAAAAAGACCATGATGACAAGTGCTTGAATCTGCTTATAATAATATGCTTGCATTTAAGTTACTTCACTTTGTCTGCTAAGTACCATGAAATTAACTCGTAGAAAGTGATTTCCCAAATTATCCCTGTTCATATCTATTCAGAAACAAATGTCTGCACTGAAGAAAAGGTGGAGGAAATTGTGGAAATTAGAGGCTGAACAATAGCTAGCATTTGAAAAAAAAATTTTGATGGTCCCTGCCCCCATACAGGAACAGCATCCTGTCCTTGGCATCTTTAAACCTGGAAATGATATTGGTTCTGGTAAAATATATTTATTTAAAAAAATCAAATCCAAAGTAATAGAATGTGGAGATATATTGCCATACAGCTGCTAATAGCCCTTTATCCACCGATGTGAAAGGAGAACTGTTACTAGAATGCTTGACTTGAAAAATTTTATTCTGTGACTGCAGAAGCCAAATCCGTCAGGGCTTTTTTTCCTTCTCTTTCTAATCTTCATTGTGAATTGAAAAAAAAAAAAATCTATAATGTAGTACTTCTCAATCTTTTGCTCACAGTGTGCCTGTCCTTAGCAGTTCTTTTGAAAAAATTTGTTTTCTTTCACAATATGGCATTTCTTCTTTTAACAACTCAAAATTAGTCTACTAAACTGGTGGAGGATTCTTCTCAACATTCTTCTTTTACCCATTGGTGGGAGTTGCAGATGTATAATCTGAATTAGAAACAATTTTGTTTAGAATTCATCACTGCATTTGCTGCATGGAAAAAAGTCTCCCATTTCTATGTAGCCAGCCTTATCTTCAGCCAAGTGTTCAAGGCTGAGGCCAAGTAGGATAATAACTGCAGTAAGATTTGGAGCTTGCTGTTCTCATCATGTGTGTAGGGCAGTGAGGAAGTCCTCCTAACTTTATATTAGAAGATGTTCTAGGAAGAGCTTAATTTGTGCCAGATTTAACATCCGTCACTTGATGAAGAGTTGTGGTAAGACAACTAACACATGGTCAGGGGCAATAAATGGACAACAGGTATGGTACTGAAGGGGAGAGGAAGAGAAAGAATATGATTCTGTGAATATTGTTGAAAAGAAAGTGGCGGAGTGGAGGTGAGCATTCCACTGGTTTAGCTCTTAATCTTCCCCTGGTAGAGTCTGACCTGCTCAGCTCTCCAGACATGCTGGCTAACACAAGAAGTGGCACATGGACACTTCTGCTGTGGTTTGCTCATCTTGGCATTGATGTTTCCATGTCCAGTGCCTGGCCTGTTTTAGTAGGGATACTCTGTTTTGAATTTCCAGGTGTTCCAGCTGGCTCTGGCATGCTTGCCACAATCCTGGCACCGCACTGCACTAAGGGAACTGAATGGATTTGGGATCTGCAGATGGCATAAACAGAATCCAACTTCATGAACTTTCTGGGCTCCAGTGCTCTCTTTTCTATTTATGTGGGTTGGAAACGACCTTCAAGATTCCCAAGTCCAACTATCAGCCTGACCTACTGAATCCCATCACTAAGCTACGTCCCTTACTGCCATGTTCACACACCTCTTAAATACATCCAGGGATAGAGCTGCACCATCTCCCTGGGCAGCCTGATCTAATGCTTGACCACTCTCTCAGAGAAGAAATTCTTCCTAATGTCCAATCTAAGCCACCCCTGGAACAATATGAGGCTGTTACTTCACGTCCTATAACTTGTTACCTGAGAACAGGGTCCAACAGCTTCTTCACTGCTAGCTCCTTTCAGGTAATTGTAGAAAGCAATGAG